CTAAACCCTTCAAGAAATTTCATGCTGTGAGAGGTGCTTATTACAAAGCCTGACAAAAGATGCCAACTTTTGTCATCTAAAGTCTGTTTCCACCGTTACAAGCATTATTGTTGAACAGCTAGAACCACCCCCCTTGTCTTTAAAGCTGAAAAGAGTTAGAATTTAAACAGACTATTTGAAATGCTGGCTGAGAAAGACCAGCAAATTATTTTCTTCATATTATAAATTCCCTGTACAAAATCAAGCATCCATGAATGCTCATGCAAGACTCAACTATTCAGAATGTTTTTAAGCATCAGTATTCTTTATAACTAGCTTTCCTCTGAATGCAAAGAGTCCTTTTGCAAGGACCAACTGTTGTCAGACACTTTTTAGTGCTCTGGACACCAAGCACAAAAGCAGCAACCACATAAAAGCTGCTAATACACATCTGTATCTAAAGATTTTTGCCTATTTTTTCAAGCAATACTTTGAATTAAGAATTCATATTTTAAAGATTGGTAATACTTGCAGAAAGAAGTAAATGTGAACATGCACCCAAATATTAAAAGATTTTTCCCTATGGACATAACTGCCCTCTACTGGATCCAAGTCAGAAGTATTTAAGCACCTTCCTCACTTACAGGATACTACCAGCAGCTGAAAAAAAATGGTTTCTTTGGGTTCCAGAAAACAAGCATCTACACAGAAGCAAGCAATCTTATCCCTAATGGCAGACATGTTGAGTAAAGAACTGGTCAGTTGAGAGGCAATTGTGAAACCCCTTCCTACTGGTTTATTATATTGCAGACAAAAAAAAATACCTGTGGTATGGTTAAGTCTTACCTAATCTTCACAGATCACACCTGAATTTACGATGCACCATTCAGACCCCAAACTTTTCTGAAGTATTAGCCAAACAAATACTTGGACACAATTTTATAGCAGCCTTACTGCTGACCACAAGCTATTGAATATTTTTCCCCAAAATCCTTCAACTGAACACTCAGGTATACATAGAACATGGAATAAATATCTGGATATTGGTCATAATTCAATTCCAAGCTTTAACAAGTCAATATGTGTCCAAGGATCCTCATCAGCAGAAGACAGATTTCTGCTTTTTTCCTGACTCCCTACAAGAGCACTGTTCCTCTCTAAGCAACTCCTGCCTACTGAAGCAGACAGAGCTAACCAATTACAGAAAATCACTTACTCCATGCTGAAAACAAACTCCTCACTGCTCCAACTCCTGCACACTAAGACAACATATAATGAAGCTATACAGAAGTTTAAGGAAAGTCTTAGATCAGAAAGGCATTCCTAATTAGCTGAGGTGCTACACAGCAGTACATGCCACTGGACTTGTTCTTATCTTCCTCTGAAATTCAGGTCACCACCTTGCTACATCAAGAAAATTCAGTGCTTTGTCTTCCACTGCTTTGATTCTGCCTTCTTCAGTCCCTTCTGGCACATCAGCTGACTTCTAGCCTTTTTTACTGTCTAAAAGGTAGTAAGTAAAATATTTACCTGTTGAGAAAGAAGATTTACTAGACTTCTGTTCTTGAACAACATGCTTTTCCCCCCACCAAGTCTGTCAGAAGAATGAGATACAGTGAACACTTTAAATAAACAAAGAACTAACTACTTCTCTGAGCCCCAGGAACTCTGTGAGCTCTCACTTATTATACCACATAGCCTAGAATGACTGGAGAAAAGTATGTAGAATGAAACAATACTTGTGACAGCAGAGAAACTTTGGCATAGAGTTGTAAAGTTTCAGACGTGTGTCAATCCAGATCAATATCAAAATTCCATGGATAATTGTAATTTAGGTCTCCAAATGCCTTTCATGCAAAAAAAGCAGGAAGGAAAAGTTAACAAGTTGGAAATAATTACCATGAAAAGACAGAACACAAGCTAATCCACAAAAGGTAACAGTGAAAAGGCAGATGAGAGTTTTCAGTAGACTGAAGCAGTATTTTGAAACAATAATAAACCAGACATCAGCTTCAGTCGTACTGACATTACCAGATTTAATTATTTTAATACTGCACAGCAAAACAGCACAGTTTATTTAGAATACGTGGAAAATGCTGTGCAAAGAAAAAGCAATACACTAGATTTAACTTCAGTCTTATTGAGACTAAGAACCTGTAAGTAGAATACATCTCTGACTAAAACTTTCTCAAAAATCCCTTTAGAAAGTAGTACTTGCAATATACAACTCTGCCTAAAATATGAATTCAACTGCTAGAGATCAGCTCCTCCTTCTCCTAGCCTCCTGCTCCCCCAAACTTTTCCAGTGCTTTACCCTTTCAGATGCAGACCTGATAAATGCAAGATCAGTCATAATACTATTACTACTGATCTGATCTCATATTCCCAGAAAATTGATTACAAAACTTGAAAATTATCTATGCACCAGCCATTTTATCCTATGAGACAGTTCTACATTTAAATTAACTCACACTTTTTTCATAAATGCAAAGCTTCAGTACTTTGCCATAGCAAGCAGGAAAAACATCAAATGCAAATACTTAGTTTAGGCAAAGTCTCTTAGTTCTGTCTGCAGCTAAACTGCACACACATCAGAAAAAAAAAATCAGTGTTACAACAGTAAAATAAAGACAAATTCAGCATTTACCATTCTGTTCCACATACACCAGCAGTGCTCTGCAGACACTAAAAGCACCATTTTTTTAAATACACCTGTAGCACTTCAGCTACACAATATATTGAGTTTTGTGGGGGGTTTAAATGTTCTAATTGATTCCCTTCAGCAATAAAGATCTCACTAACTTTCAGTACACCCCAAAATATATTCTCAGTGGGTTCTGTTCATATGTGATCATGACCTACGTAAGCCTTGAAACACGAAACTTTTCCATGTAAGAACAGGAAACGAAATCACTACTCTCTTAAGGGGAACTTGCATCATGGTGTCTGCAACAAATAACAGAAGTTGCATTTGGAACATATGAAAACTAAATTTCGTCTTCACTCCTTTAAAACGTGCCTACTTCACATGCATCTCCAGAAAATGGGCATCAAGAACTGGATCTGGTTTACACCTCCTCTAAATTTCTTACCAGACCAGATGAGAAAAAAGTCTGGAGTGCTCACACTTCTCTTTGGCCATACTACCTGCTAGATACCCTAGCTAATGAATTGGACATATGCAGGTAAACTAAACAGATGAAGGAAGGCAAGACAGAATGAGAACAATCAGCATAACACTGTTAAAGCCTTTTGGTGACAAAGCCATAGAAAAGCCTACTTAAAAACACTTTTTACCCTACCAGTAATGTTGGCTGTAAATTTCACTAAGACCATTTTAAACACATTTTAAAAACAACTCATTAACAGTTTCTATTAATATTCTAATGAGTCTGCCCATTGAAAGTGTTAACGACTTGAACTAAAGAAATCACCAATGCTATTAATTCAGATAAACCTTTAAGGAGAGAATACCTTGTGACTAGGTAACAAAGTACATGAAGTAAGACTTCCAACAATTTCCAAGTTCCTAAAAATTACATTTATAAAGAAAAATATTTCCCTCTTCTCCTAAAGCCAGAATTATCTTAAAAGTTACAAACTGATCAAGAAGGGCTTTTCTAAACTTTTGTTCAACTTCTATGGCAGCCACAGAAACAGCTGAACATGGACCAAACTTTTTTTAAGCAGTAACTTAGAAGCCTATTACCATATTTCAATAGGAAATATTGCTGTGGATATTTGAATTTTTAACTAACAAATTTATTCTGAGTCATTGACCTTTATCAGAAACTATGCAATTCAAACGAGCCCTTCTTTTAAGAAAGCAGTAACAACCCTTCCTCTAGCTTTTCAAATGGTTTCATAATTTTAAAGGAAACTAGTATTCAAGTTTAAATATTTTAACATTCACTTTAATAAGCTATGTAGAAGTTTACTCTTGCATAAAGAAAGCACATCTGTTTTAGTCACCTGGCTAAATTAGCATTACCTTTGCTGCAAATTCTTTAAACTTTTAGCTTTTTACAAAAATTTTTAATTTGACGAGCCAAAATAAAACCACCACAGTCTAAGAGAGAGGGACATAAACCATTTGAAATATTTAGCACCACTGAATGAATCACCCAAATGTGTACTCTTCAAGAAGAGTTTTCTTTTCACAATGGCAGGCCCAAAATAAATTAACAGAAATCAACAGAGTTTAAAGAATTAATAACACAAGTACAGAAAGTTTCCCACATAAGAGGAATAAAGACATTCAGGTGCACATAAGATGCTCATCCTAGAAAAGATACATAAAAATGCATGTGCAGCAGGTTCTACAACAACTCTCTGTCATTCAAACAAAGACAATATCTAAAAGGTCTTTTATTTTAAATATTCCATTATACTTAGAAATACAGTTTAGTCTGTGGAAGTTGCTGCTACACAAAGTAAGAGAGCTCAGCAAAATTTCCAGTGGAAAAACAGGATATTCACTTGGGATAGTCATAAAAGCTTTAGGAGAAGTAATTAACAAACACAGGTGCTGGTAATGATGTAAAGATAAATCCTTCAGGGCAGAAGATAACCTCTAGCTAATGGGAAACTGAGGTTAGTTGGGGTTTGGCTTTGTGTTTTGGTTGTTGTTTTTTCTTGTAAGCAAGTTATTTCACAAAGAGCTCTTATAACACTTCTTATACTTTCCTAGCTGAAACAGTCATGATTAAAGACAGAATACTGGAGTAGACAGCACAATACTTTAATTCATATTATGACATACTTTAAATTTTCAGTCTTTAAAGAGAGTTTGATTCTTCTCATAGTGCAAGAAGTTACCAGAAGACAGACTATTCAGAACAGTAAGCTTTTAGCCAACAGACAATCACTAAAAAAAAAAAAAAAAAATCCACCACGCACAATCGGACATTGAGGGAGAATCTTTAAATACTCGAATTACCATACACCACTTTTGCAGGAAAGCAAAGCCACACACATCATTTAAGTTACATGGTAACTCAAAAACATGAATAGCTACTTACCTACTACTAGCCCACACTCAGAACAAATCATATCACCAGCTCTGTAATCCTCCACTAAAATGGAATCCGGATGATTTGGGCAAGTCACCCGCGGAAGTACATCCAAACTAAGGAAAAAAATGAGAAGTATTAATTGGTTTTAAACAAGCAGGCTGCATATCCAAAAGCATAAGAGTTCCTTACTGACAAGAACACTTAAATAATACAGAATTTACAGCAATTTGACTATTAACCTGCATACCTAGGCTGCACCTTTTACTTAAATGCTGTAACACTGCATTTGACAATCAAGACTTCAGATCTTAAATTCCACATCTTTTTGCAATGTATCTTGCACCAAAACCACCTCAATATAAAACATTAAAAATCTAAATAAGAGACTTAAGAAAATATATACTACAGCCTAAGCTGTACATTCCATCTTAATTTTAATTTTTTAGATATTTCTGATGAGTCAAAAATACAAAGAAACACTCCAAACATTTTAATCCACTGACTGTTCAGAAAAATATCTGACTTGAAAACAAAATCAATATCACCATTAATATTAAAGCCTCCAGAAAGCAAATGTACACACAAGATTCTCAGATGTAAATTATGCTCAAAATTCTGCACTGGAACTCTTTAAACTACTTTCCTTCTCACTATACCCAGTTAGTAGTTTCATATGACAAAACTGTTAACAAAGCATTCACAATCATCTGACATTTGGCATTACACAAAAGGCTAGTGACACACTAAGCAAACCAGGAAAAAAAACCAAAACACAGAAGCCTCAGAGAATACCATCAGAGTTTTGTTTCAGACTTTACCTTCACATAACATTGTAAAAATTAGTCTTCCTATGCCAATTTTAACTCGTATATCTAGAGAGATATACCGTACTCCTTGCAACATAGGGGCTCGATATACTAAGCTGAAGGAAAATGCATGGCACGTGTGTAAAGGCCATCTCAGCAAAGGAAGCACTTCCTAGATCCTAGGACAGGTTTAGCAAGAGTTACAGAGTCATTCCACAGTCTGCTTCATGAGCCTTCCTTCATTCCTGACTGGAAAGAAAAGCTCGACAGGTCTCCAGGGAAAAGAATTCCGAGCCCGAAACCCGTTTGGTCACTGGCTGGTGCCGGTACGGATTTAGGGTGGGAACCTGCAAGCAGTTTCCAGGCCCGATAGGGTGGAGCCGGGCCAGGGCGCTGCTGAGCGGGGTCCCGCCAGGGCTGCCCGGCCGGGGCACGGCGGGAGGCCCTCGGGGCCCGGCCCGGCCGGAGCCGCGCTGGGGTGCGGCGGTGCGGGGGGCCGGCCCTACAGGGAACCGCCGGGTCGCCGTTCGCACCGAGCTGCGATAACGAGGGGCCCCCCACTCCAGTCACGAATCGCCACGAAATCCTGCAAAGCGCTGGCGTCCCCTCGGAGCGCTGCCCGGCAATAGCCACACGAAGATGCAAAGGCGGTGAGCTCGGCCCCTCGGAGGCCGCTCCGCCGGGGGCCGCACGGCCCGCACGGACAGACGCGGCCGCCTGGCCGCCCTTCCCGGCCTCCCGCCGCCCAGGAGCCGGGGCGAACCCGGCACACGGGACACCGGGAGGGGCCCGGCTGCGCAGCGCCGAGCCGGAGGCACCGGGGCCGGGCGAGGGCGGCGATGGCCGCCGGTCCGTCCCAGGGCGGCAGCGGGGGCGGCGCGGCCATTTTCTCTCTGTGCCGCGGTCGGGAGCGGAGCTGCTCCACTCCTCCCTCGGCCCCCGCCCCGTACCGGCTGGTGGACGCCATCTCGCCGGTGCCGCAGCGGTGCCGGAGACGGTTCGGGGGAAGGTCCCGGTTATTAAATACCGGCAGCGGCGGGGCGGGGCCGCCGGGCGCTCCTACGGGTCCCGCGAGGGGGCGGGCGAAGGACAGAGGGCCCCGCCCTGCGCCGGGCCGGCCAGCGGGTGTTGTGAGGCTGCGGGCCCGGCCGGTACCGGCGGAGCCTGACCGCGGGCTGCGCCCCCTGAACCGAGGGCGGCTTCGAGACAAAATCTCGTTGTAATAAGTCAGAGGATGCGGCGTGCCCTGGGGCCGTCATTCAAAGGGTCTGCCCTGGGCTGGAACCTTGCCCTGGGGCCAGGCCCACGAGGAGCGGCCCCGGGCTGCCCGCAGACCCCCTGCACAAAGCCCGCCGTGCTGCCCCTCGGGGAGTGACTCCGGGTCAGCTGTTCCTGTGCAAACTCCAGCAGTTCAGTGAAATGCCGCAGAAAACAAGTGTAAGCAAAACTGCCCCAAGTTTGCATAGGGCGCACAATACGTTCTTGGCCCTGAAACTAAGCAGAGACAATTCCCAGAAGGGGGAAGAAAAGACAAGTTTGGTTCCCCCTTACTTGCATCTCCTGCTACAGCTGTTCTGCTTTGCCACTGCGCAGATTCCCTCAGGAGAAGAACCTGGCCCTTCTCGCTGCAGGCCCCGCGGGTGTCGGGCAGCCCGGCTGTGACTCACGGAAGCCCTCGGCAAACAGACCCTGCACAGACTCGGCCCGACTCGAGCCGATACACACACCTGCTGGCTTGTGTGGGCTCCCTGTGTTACCCTGCACATTCCCGCAGGATGTGATCAGCTCCCCTTCTGTCCCTCCCCCTTGCACCCACCCTGGCAGCAAACATCAGGCCAAAGAGAAGGAGAAACCACAAGAACTGTTGCAAAACCAAAGCCCTCCAGCACTGGACTCCAGTTGAGGCTTTAATTCCCCAAGAGATAATCCTTATGCAAAATTAGTCTGTATGATAAGCAGCAATAACAGGTTTTCAAACCCAAACTATAAAACAGTGGAAAAAATTTATTCCTTCGGTACGAGCTATTCTCACTGAAAGAGAGGGATGGATAGGACAGGACTGTCTACAGATTTTAGAAAGTGCCGTTACTTCAATGCTTTAAAGCACACATGACTATTGTGGGAAATAAAATACTAACTATGCAACTTAGCACTTTTCATCTTATTTAAACTGATGCAATTTGTGCACAGACAAGGTAGGTAGGCAGGTATGTGGAAAGTCACTGCAATTATCTAACATGAGGCATGTCTTAATCTTCCTCTACTGCAGGTTATTTGGTTTCACAAACCATGATGTTTCTAAGTCTCTCTTTTTAGTTCCTATACTATCTCATAAAAAAGCACCTCCTACTTTTTTCTTGTAAGCTTTAAAATACCTATATCATCTATTTATTTTACACAGAGTCCTACCAATTTTTTTTCAATAAAAGAAGTGAACCCCATAGATTTATTTTTTTTTTAGGAAAAAAGTAAATTATTTTGAAAAGACTGAAAATAACCTCTGAGTTGCATTACACACATTTTAGGTAAATCATTGTTTTAATTCCTCAGCAGGTGGCAGCAAAAGTTATTTCCAATGTCATATTAATTCTGTACTGTATTAAGTAATTTGTTCTTAAATTTCCAATAAAACTCCCCTACTAGATAATTATACCATATGGAAGAGTTAATAAGAAAAATCAGCCTGTCTGCTTATTCCAGTTCTTCAGAATCACTTCAGCTGCATCTAGTGTGCTGTCTTTCTGCAAAACAAGGAACAGTTGCACTATTACTGCAAGTATGGAGTTCTTGAAGAGAGAGGCAGTCATGATTATATCATCCCAAATCAGTCTTCGGCAGTTTCACTCACATCCTGGAAATATCGTGTCAGCCAGTTTTTCCCTAACAGTTATTAGCTACAAATCTGGACTGCACAAAGAATTCAGTGCTGATTCCTTGAAAATATTTATTATATATATTTAAAAGATAACACATTTTCTCAGCATTTATACTATCACATTTAAAGAAAGCAATACTTATATAAATGCTTGGCATTAATGCAGTGATGTAACTTGGCAGCTCTGTTTTGGAGACATGCTAGCTTGCCTCTCTATACCTTCCTAATCCCTATGTGTGCAGTTGGGATTTTTTAATCTCCATGCAACCATGTTATGCTGTGAACCACTTAAAAATAATCCCCCCAAATATGGGTAATCTATCCATCAGCCATTTGTGTGGCTTGGCTACAACCTGGTGAGTCATACAGGTTGTCCAACTTGATTAGTCCAAAATGGTCAGTGCTGCTCATTGCAGACAAGCCACATTTACAAGCAGCAAGTTTCATCCTGGTTGTTAGTGGCTGAGTTTATACCAAAGACTTTACACCTCATCAAAAGAACTAAGCAACACAAGGGGAAACTCCCCTTCATTACTAGTTCAGGCTAAAGCTCTGATCTTTACACAGAACAATTAAGGATTTGCACATGTTCCATATGCTGACTCTGCTACAGAACAACTGGGAAACATCTCAGGGCTTTGGACTTATCAAAGCTTACCTACCTGTCCCCAAAGTCTTTCAGTCTTTTCAAGAACAGACTCAACAGGGCAAAGAAAATATATAAAGGAGGTGTTCACAAAATGGCAAAAATTAGCTAATTCACAAAAAACATGTTTTCTTTTGTAATTTGGAGCTTGTGTGAAACCCTGAGTATTTTCAAGCAAGTGAGCTAAACTGGAAGGTGACTTCTTTACTGTTTTTCTGTTGGACACTGCATGGGCATGAGGCATACCACTCTGCTGTACAGTTAATCTCTGCTCTGGATTATAGAAATCACGTTGATAGTTTACCCGTCTCATTAATTTTCACTGTCACCACTGGTCAAGAATGTTTTTAAAAATCAATACAGTAAGATAAAAAATGGTTACCCATCCAGTTGCTTTCTGCCAGTGCCCCTTCTTAGCCATGCCACCCACATTCATGGTGTAACGTCCCCCAGCAAAAAGACAGTTGAAGCTACTTTGTGCTGAATTTTACATCAAGCTAACCTTCTGTTCCTAAAAACATTCAACTCAAGAGATCCTGGGAAAAATGTTAGTCAGTCTTTTGCAGATTTCTGTACTGCATTGATTTTCAGGACATAAATTTACCTTAATGAAGCAAAAACGTATATATTTTTCAAACTGTTTCTTTGTTTCAGGACCACAGAATGCTGAAAGAGGAATTGCTGACAGCTTCTGAAACATAAAATAGAAATAGCATTTGCTTATTTATATGTGTTAAAAATCTGTTTTAAGCATGATGATTTTACTATTCCATTTCTAGAACTCTCCCTCACAACATGTGATGGAAAGATAAGGTTTGGTTTTGTATGCACAAGCTAGGCTTTTCTAAACTCAAATTACTTTTCTTGGGCAAAACATTTCAAAGGTACTTCTATTCAACAAACATTTAAACATGCCAAAAGAAAAGTGCTGAGGTGTAACACAGACCTACAGGGTACATTTTCAGCACATTTAGTAATATTTTAGTCACATAATTAACAGCAACACCAAATAATATTTTGAATGGAACATCTCTACTACACTATTTAATAACTAAGTTGCACTGCTCTTGCTTTCAATAGAAAAGCAATTTTGAAACCAGAGTATGACTCTTACCTTAGATGCTATCATCCATCTGACAAATTTATAATCATAAGGTTGTTTCTCATCTACACCAGAGAGATCCACATCTAAAAAAATAAATTTGAAACAAATATGTTGTAAGATTTCCTAGACTCCACTGGGAAAGCATTCATTAACAGCATTTTATTATAGTTAATATTTAAGAATAAAGATATATGCTTTCATTTTCGTATATAATTTCTAAATTATAACAATTAAAATGGGCCAACAGATTGAACCTTTCCATTCTGACCTGAGCACTTGCTTTCCATCCAAAGCAAATTCAGAAATGTAGCTTGGAAGAAAGCCATGCAGTATGCCAAGAAGTCTTGAAGCCTGGGTTATTGAGGAATCAGGGCTGTGAAGGGTACTGAAGGGGGCATTTATTGCAGGGACTGCAATAATCCCTGCAACTGCAGTTTTCTCATCTCTGAAACTGGAGTACCTAAAACTTTCTGTCACATGGTAAAGCTGTGAGGTCCAGCTGTGTTTAAACATTTCTCACTGAATAAAAAGTGCCATTAAGATCAGCTGGGAAAAATGCGGAACTAGAAAATGTTCCCCTGTGGAAATTCTTCCTCCAAAGTTGCCATAACCTGAATTTCCAAAAGGTTTTGTAAATTTCGGTAGCCTTTTACACTTCAGAAATCAGAATGCCTCAAAGAGCCTTCAGGGTATGACTTCAGATTAAGAAAAACAAAGAAACCAACAAAAAAAGACCAGAAAGAAAAAAGTACAAATGGTATGACCTGAAGGTGCAAGGCTCTCAAACATTCTCATAATCATATACCTTTTGAAAACAGAAATGTTTATCCACCTCCTTCATCCTCTCTAAAAACTTGGCAAAGTTTTGCAAAACACCAACAGTAGTTAGGATCATAAAGGCTTTGCTGAAGCTCATAAAGTCTACCTTACACACTAAGGTCAAACAGAAAATTTCAGTCCCAGCGAATACTTCTGACAACGTTATGCAAACGTGAAATGAGAATACAGTTTAAAATGAAAGTTGCACTTTCAGATTAACTATAGTTACTTTCCACACCCATTTTAATAAACTTTATACTAACTTAATGTGGAAACATCAACAATCATAAAGTATCCTCCATCTGGAATGACAGGCTTTAGTCCAGCTTCTTTAAGTAGTCGAGCCATCCGATCACGCTTGCTTTCCAGCTCTCGAGACAGTGAGTAAAAATAGCAGTCTGGGTCATCCATGCGTTTATAGTCTATCCAAAATGCTTGTGCCAAAGCCTCCTGGAAACATAACCAATGTTCAAAGTACTCATGAACAGTCAGTAAACTCACAGACACTCACACACTTCCTACTGAAATCACGTGGATTTTTATTCAATCCTGGCCCTCATTAAGCAAATCAGCACACAAATTACACAAGCTACATCCAAGTCTGTAATTTGCTTGTTACTTTGTGCTGTGGCAACA